ATAGAGGAAACGGAACGTCATCAGCCCTCGCCAGGATACGAGGAGTTGTTGGAAGTGGTGACGCGGGCCGTGGCCAAGCTGCACATTGATTGGCCACAGGCGGTGCAGCAGCCATCGGCAGGCAGCAAACTAGATGAAACTAGACGGCTGGACTACGGCAACGTTACAGGAATCAGACAGCACGGCTACGGAGCGATGCCACGAGTGGAGGAGGCACTGGCTAGCTACCTCTCTCCCAACCTCGCCTCATCCCTCCGGACGCCGGCGCTCCCCACCAAGCCGTGTCGGATGACGTCAGATTTGGTGGGCAAGGCCTACATGGCAGCGGGTCGAGCTGGTGCCAGCCTACATACGATGGCTGTCTTGCAGGCATCACAGCCCCCCGGGAAGACGGATCTGAGGACCGTCATTCAGTCTCGGTGGGCCCGGGGGAAGAGGTCCTGAGACCTTGAGTAGGGGGACCCACCACCACCCCCCGCCTTCTCCCCCTCCCTGCCCCCCTTCCCCTGAGAGAGGCCGATCGAGGTCCCCTCTCTCATGGTGGCTCCAGCAACAGGTGTTGTTTCTCCCACCGCTTCAGCGCTCGGGACGCGCTAGCCGCCGGCAGGCCCTCGCCGATCTGTCCGCCCCGAGGGGCAACATCCGGAACACGACTGGGCTCACAGACCGTGGTTCACCGGCAAGCCTTCCCTGGCGGTCCTCCGCCTCAGGGCGCCACTGGGGATTCCCGCGGGACACGGCCACCAGCCCCGAGGGGCAGTAGTAGATGGCTACAGGCTGCGGTTCCTGGTTCGCCCCCCCAGATTCTGCGGGATGGTCGGGACTACAGTACACGCAGAACAGAGCCAGGTGTTGGGACAGGAAGTCCGCTCTCTGCTGAAGAAAGGGGCCATAGAATTAATTTCCCTGCCAGTCAGAGAAGCCGGCTTTTAAAGCCGATACTTCCTGGTCCCCAAGAAGGACGGAGGATTGCGTCCGATTTTGGATTTGCGGTCCCTGAACCAATCTCTGAGGAGATTCAGGTTCAGGATGCTTACCATCCCAGCCATCATCAGCTCAACGCGAAGAAGAGCGTGCTGACACCTGCCCAACGGACTGCGTTCCTAGGGTGGTGTGGGACTCCTGCACGCATCGAGTCCATTTTATCCTCAGTGACCAGAGTGCAGTTAGGCCGCGCCATCACTGTAAAACACTTTCAGAGGGTGTTGGGTCTTCTGGCAGCAGCGTCCAGTATAATACCTTCCGGACTACTGCACATGAGAGCCCTGCAGTGGTGGCTAAAATCCAAGGGATTCTCCTCGAGGGGAAATCCGCTCCGTCTGATACGGGTTACGAGCGGATGCCTTCGTTCCCTGTCTGTATGGAGGAAGCCTTGGTTCCTGTCCCAAGGTCCTGTGTTGGGAGCAATCTGTCGCCGAACAATTATTTCAACAGACGCCTCACTCACGGGATGTGGCGCGGTCATGGACGACCGCTTCGCGAGAGGCTCCTGGGAGGAGCATCATTTCTCTTGGCACATAAATTGCCTGGAAATGTTGGCGGTTTTCAGGGCTCTTATGAGTTTTCTGCCCGCTCTCCACGGTCGCCACGTCCTTGTCAGGACCGACAATACGGCGGTGGTGGCCTATTTGAATCATCAGGGGGGTCTGCGCTCGCGCCCATTATGCAAACTGGCACATCGGATCCTCCTGTGGTCCCAGGAGAGACTGCTGTCCCTCAGAGCGATGTACATCACTGGGACCCAGAATCAAGGAGCAGACCTGCTGTCGAGACAGGGGTTGAGGCCCGGGGAATGGAGACTCCACCCCGAGGTGGTGGAGTTATTATGCGAAGAGTTCGGCCCCATAGACGTGGACTTGTTTGCGTCCCGAGAGACGGCACACTGTCCCCTGAGGTTCTCCCTAGTACCCCCAGCCCCGCTAGGGCTGGATGCCATGGTACAGATGTGGCCGAGGCTGTGTCTGTATGCGTTTCCCCCAGTCGCTCTGCTCCCGGGGGTTCTGGAGCAGGTCCGCCAGGACGGCGTCTGCCTACTACTAGTAGCCCCGTTTTGGCCGGCACGAGTATGGTTCTCGGATTTAATATCGCTCCTCGAGGGCCCGCCCTGGCAGGTCCCTCTGAGGAGAGACCTGCTGTCCCAGGCGGAGGGCCGGATCTTTCACCCGCACCCCGCCCTGTGGCAGCTATGGGTCTGGCCCCTGAGGGGGTGCAGTTCTTAGAGGCGGGTCTGACGACAGGAGCAGTCGAAACGCTGCTCAGCTCCAGAGCCCCGTCCACGAGAAGGATGTACGGCCTAAAGTAGAATGTGTTCACCACCTGGTGCAGAGAACGGGCGGTGGACCCAGTTACCTGCTCGGTAATTGTGATACTGGAGTTCCTCCAGCACCATTTCTCCGCTGGCCTCTCCCCGTCCACGCTCAAAGTATATGTGGCTGCCATTGCAGCATTCCACGCCCCTCTGAGTGATGGGCCATTGGGGAGGCGTCCGCTGGTCGTGCGCTTCCTCCATGGAGCCCGGAGGATTAGACCCGTGACTCGTTCCAGGGTTCCCACCTGGGACCTGGCAGTGGTTCGAAACCTTCGAACCCCTGGAGTCGGCTGAGGCCAAGCACCTGACCCTTAAGATGACCTTTCTCCTCGCTATCACCTCTCTGAGGAGGGTGGGGGATCTCCAGGCACTTTCGGTGTCTCCCCAATGCCTGGAGTTTGCCCCGGGGAGGGTCAGGGCCATCCTGCACCCTTGTCCAGGTTATGTCCCTATGGTTCTGGCCAGACTGGCAGGGTCCACGGTGCTGCAGGCGTTTCATCCCCCACCTCATGTGATGGCGGAGGACGGGAGACTTCATCTGCTCTGCCCTGTCAGAGCACTGAGTATTTACACTCTGAGGTCTTCCCGGTGGAGGAAAGCAGACCAGTTGCTGGTGTGTTTGGGTCCCCCAAGGCTGGGCTCCCCGCTTCTAAACACACCATCAGCAACTGGATCGTTAAGACTATTTCCCTGGCCTATCAGGTGCGCAGTTTGCCTTCACCTATGGCCGTAAGGGCGCACTCTACTCGAGGCATGGCGGCTTCTAGGGCCCTTCTCACAGGGGCGTCACTCCAGGATTTGTGTGATGCAGCTGGCTGGGCCACCCCTCACACTTTTATCCAGTTTTACAGTCTGGACCTGCCTTCTGCACCCGACACCCGTGCGCTCTCTTCCTAGTCGTGCCATCAGGTTCTGCACGCTGGGGGCAGGCGGGGTTTCAGTGCGGCCTAAGTGGGTATCTCGTTCCCATAGTGTCGCACCGACGCAGTTCGAGTTCCCTCGAAGGGGAACGTCTCGGGTTACGTATGGAACCCTTGTTCCCCTCGAAGGGGAACGAGACACTGCGTCGGTCCACCACACCTCATCCCGCCTGGAGTGCCTTGCTTCATAGAAAGGGCTAGTGTGCCGGCGTGCTTGTATACCCCCTCCGGTTACGCCGTCACACACTACCGTTCTAGTAACACCAATAGGATTGGAGTAGTTTCATTCATAGTTCAGCCCTGCCAAGCCCAGGGGCGTTCCCATAGTGTCGTCACCGACGCAGTTTCTCGTTCCCCTTCTCGGGGAACAAAGGTTACATACCGAGACGTTTCATACATATGGAAAATCTTGAAAGGATACTAAGGAGGCAAGAGGATTTGCCATTAAATAGGATATTTTAGTGGTAATATTGCTGATTGCTTAAAATGAAAATTGAATTGAATTGAAATTAATTAAATAAAAAATTAAATGTAGTTTAACAGCTGAATTGATCATATCCAATGAGATGTAAAGATACACATCTTGAATTGTCAGTGACTCTTCTTTCAGTCAAGCATTATGTCAGAGCAGCTAAAGGTTTGAGGTAGAAAAAGAAGGACAACAGTAGACGGTAGGCAAGTGCAGTTGCAACAGACATTTTTAGCTCACTGTAGTATCTGTAATTATTCACTCATATCCATTTGCAGGGGGCTTGGCAGCCAGAGAAACGTTATGCCGCAATTTGTCTTCCCTCTCTCTTTTTCTCCTGCTGCCTTCTCCTCTACAAATCGTTAGTTTCACTTTTCATTAGGCCGGATCAATAAGGCGGATCAGTCGCTCGTGGCGAGGACAGTGCGTGACAGACACCCCCTCTCTCTCGCTCTACTCTTTTTTTCCTGCTCATTCCTCCTCCATTGTTCTCTTTTGCTCTGTCACTGACTCAAGCTATCTTTCCAGCAATCCTCTGGTGAGGGAGGTTGTGATAGGCAGCAGGAGACAGGAGGCAGCAGGAAGCTTGAAGGGCCCAAGAAAGCAACGTGAGCCAGTGATTGCGCTATAGTGCTACTCAATAAGGCAGAAATGGCAATGCTGAATGATAACCCAATAAAGTTTAATTAAGAACCAGTAACCTCTCAAGCTTACAGTAATAATGAAAGTGGAGGCTGCATGCAGAGGAAGGAAATTAAAGTGGAAATGTAAGGGTCTGTAAAAGTTCAGTCATATTGACACTCTGCCAAATGGGAAACATTAGCATTGATTTAATTCCTTTCTGATGGTTTTAATACAAGATTTATCTTTTGTCCTAAGGTTTCAATGAAGATTTTTTTAACATGTTAGATTGCATGTGAGTGCCTCTGTTTGTGTGTGTATTTATATTTATATTTCTCTGCAATTGGAAAGTGAACGAGGACACATACTGTTTACTTTGTTGTGAAGCACCACTTTTGTTAGGGCCCCTTGAGCTCTGGTAGTACTTCTGTCCAGTGTTTAGGCTCAAGAGTGTAGATTTCGTTTGAGTATTTGGGATGATACATATGAGCTAAATTGGTTTTGTGATGCTGATGGGGTTTCGTCATTGTGGACGTTAAATCCTCAGAAGCTCTCTGAGAGTAAGAAGCCAGTGAAGCCTTTTCCATGAGTCGCTTTGCAGCTCAGTGATGGGAGTCGGGAGGTGGCTGGCGCTAGTACAGTGGTGTTGTTTGGAGTCAGTGTGTGTTTAATTTGGACTCACCCAGCACAGTGAGACGGGCAGGACGGGACCTCATGGCAGCCTGGACAGCCTGGCACTCAAACACAGCGTCATCCATCAGCTCGACACGCTGGATTCGCAAATGATGCTCTCCTGAACCGTGGTCGCCAATCACTGTGTAACGAGGATAGCCTGCAGCGCAAACACATTTGTTCATTTTAATCCCCCTTCAAAATCAAAATACTGCTCATTTGCCAAATGCAAGAAGGTAATTTTGAATAGTTTTGAATACTTGCATACTACAACAAAAATACACACATGTATACACCATCAGCTATAACATGAATGTTATTATCAGGTTGTTGGTTTTAATTGGTAAAGACATAAACAAATATGTTGTTGATGTTAAAATGCTGGCTTGAGTGTGTTAACTGTAATGAACAACAGTAACCAGATGATCGAAATAGGCGGCAGGTGAGACTATTATAGATTTATAGTGAGTATGTTTTTTTGATTGTTCATTTGCTAATTTACTCACATTTTCATACAATGTTGAAACATGACATTATAGCATTCCTGGAAATGTTAATGAGCTGCTGTGGAGGTTGCTGCATTCTGGAGAATGATGTTTTACTGCAACCGTAAACAGGAACAGCTAGAGTTTGAGTTGTTTCAGCATTGCTCTGTAAAATGATTTATTGTTTAATAATGCAAGAAAGCAGAGGAATATCCAAGAGACCTGGGCATTTTACACAAGTCAAGTGAGATGGTTTTAAAGGTATCCCCTTAACAATTATAGCAAAATGCATTGAGAGTGTGTTGTGGAGTGCATCCCTCCACCGAGGCAAATAAGCAGGAAGAAGAATGTCTTTGACTGGGAAGCTTTATGGGATATTTCGCATGCTTTTGGAGTTGCTCGTCTCTGAAGACCCCTTTTCTTTTTTCTCCTCCCTTCATCTTTGTAATTACTAGGGATACACTATATAGAATGAAATGAGAATGTCTGTTCATAAAAAATGTTGAGAAAAACTGTGAAGCATTTCCAGCAAAGAACTGCTTTTTCCTCCAGTGGCCCTTAAGTAATTGATCAATGATGAAACTCGTGGATAGGATTGGATAATTTTACAGCAGAACAAGGCCAGGCTTTTAGCAAAGCCTCACTCTAACTTTGTAGCTTTGACAAAGAAAACTTCACACTTTAGACTCACACACTTGTCATTTCCTGTCCAAAACAGCTATCAGTGCCCATCCAACTGCTGGGTCGTTGCCAACAAATGTTGGGGATAAAAATATTGATTTCTCAGTAACAGCTTACCATTGACTCAGGTTCACTTCAAAGATCCGCAAACACTTCAGTCTTTCACTGTAAATGTTTTACAGGCTGGTTATATGTTTTAGCACCCAAAGGGAACATAACAAACTGGCCAGCCTTATAACAGCTTTTAAATCCTTGCATTTGTCTAGTGCAAAACCCCCTTGTATGCTCAAAGTCCAATTAGTGACTGTTGCTTCGTTGAATCCAGATGCCTTTAATAGAGCATGGAGTGGGCCTCACACTATGCTGGTGGGGTGAGTTACAGCCGATTAAGCCACCCTTTGCATTTCATCCTCCTACGTGTAACCTTTAATCCATACGGTGGGGGACGGACAAAGGACAAAAGAACGCCAGAATCTAAAAATTAAAGCTGGGGACAAGATAAACAGATGAAGGCAAAATTAGTGGCAAGCCTACCTGTGGATGTTTTGTGGGAAAACTAGTTACACAGGCGATAAAACATCCCCTTTCTTTGAATTTCACATGAGTTGCTACAGTGTGTCCTACACTGAGTGATAGCGGGGCTTCAGTAGACCAGGTTGTAAATGTAACAGGGTTAATAGATACCTGATCACAACTAAAAGCTTCTATTAATAGCATTAATAATCATTGACTGAAAATAAGCCTTCTGCTTTCTCATGCTCAGAATAATGTCTAAAATAGAGGACGCACCATTATGTGCACAAGGTCACGAGAGAACCATTTTGCTTCAATTTTATGTTCATTGATGAGATTCAAAGCAATAATGCCATTGCGGATCACAAGGGTAATGATCATTGCACATTCTAAATGATGTGACCTTGAGTTGACTCCGGTCCGCATAGCGAGAGGTTATTGTACCTGCTCAGAAACAGAGTTGACTTCAAAATGCCTAATTGCACCAAGGTATAAGCCATGTACATTTATGTTACACAAACAGATGATCTGGCCAATTACCTCATCTGTGCCTCTGGCAAACTCAATATATTTTTTGCTGTGTGAAAATATGGCTCTGTTCCAGTTTCTCTCTGTGCGTTAGCAAGATCCAAAAGGAAAAGTAATTTGCATTTGTGGTGGACAGTAAATGATAAGAATTTTGAAATATCATTTTCAAAACATGCTGTGAAGTGTTTTTGCCACGTTATCAGCACCTTGATCACACACTTTGTCAGTATGACTCTTATAATGGCACACATGAAGACTGATCACCTCTGCACATGTGATGTGTGCCTATAAAGGGCCATTGATCTTAGATCTCAGCGATTTTCAAAGACACAATGTGTCACCTAAAGCAAACAATGTAAAATAGGCCCATTAAGGAGTAATGAATCCATCAGGTGGAAATGGATTTGTCTTGAGGCTGGAATCAATGGTGTATGTGCATGTGAGTGTGTGCATATAAGTATACAGACATTTGAGGCATGGCCTAATGATTTATAGCATTCACCTAGAACATGTTTCAAACAGTGTAACCATCAGGGGATAGAAACAGGTTAGCTGCAGATGTGAACAGGTGACTGGTGTTCAGTTTGCTCTTGAGGGGTTAGTGTCACATGCCTGCTGGTGAAGGTTTGCTAATTGTCAGCCTCTATTCTCAAGAGCTCATTCTCCTATATCCTAAGTGTATGGTGGAATGTAAACAAACACCTCCTTCTCCATCTTCACTGCGTGCGCACCAGGAGAATTCACTTATAGCTGCTTTGTCTGTTGCCACTATCATCACGCGTAGCAGATACCTTCTCTGGCATGCATATTCATGTCATTGATTGGTGTGTTCTGAGCAGTTGTGGGGCTATTTTACTTTTCTTTAATTAGGGTGGAAAAGCGTGACACAAAAGGGAATGAATGGGAAATTCAGGGACAGATATGCATCATTGGCTATTGTGCTGTAATTTCTTGCTCTGAATAGTGAAAGAGTTCTCTCAGTTTAATCACTGCTCCTGTGAATGGAAACAGGTCCCAGGCGGAGCACAACGTTGCCGACGCAGCTCCTTTACATGAATAGCCGAGCAGACCTATATTATGGAAATGCTCCATGCAACATTTGATTCGTCGCACTTTTTATGTATACAGCTGCCACTTTCCTTTCATTGTGTACATCCTGCAGTGGATGTACCATTACTCTTTTAGTGCTGCAAGCACTGCTTGTGTATGTAGGCAGGAGTGATAAAAAGGACAGCTGTGGAGCGCTTTATTTAAAAAAAGTGTCATCCATCTCAATAGAAGGCACTCAGCCCCTGTCTGTATCATACTGTTGATTCTACCTATCTTCTCCAGGCAGACAGCAATTCCTCCTCACACAAAACCCTGTGCATTTTTGAAACAGTTTAAGTGAGAAAGATCACTCCAACTCTACATCTCGGGCCTGATTATTCAGCCAAATAATAAGAGAATATTGTTGGAGGAGGGCAAGGTCAGGATAACTGCATCTCGTCTGTGACTGTTAGACTATTCACAGATGTGATGTGTGTTAAAGGTTGATCTACTGAAGTTCCCTTGAGTGTTGTGAGCCACTATTCTCTCTATATTCTCCGTTCGATTCCTTCCTCTGTCTTCAGCTGTTGTTGAAATGAGATTTCATCTTGATTGTCTTGTCTTTTAAAATCAATAAAAATAGAGGAGGATACAACAAACTCTACATCTCTGCTCCACTCTGACCCTAAATAAAATTGTACTCTCTCTTGCTTCCTCTCTCTTTCTCATTCTATTTCCAGCAATCATAAGTACTGTCCCTGTCTGCCTCCTCTTCCTCCAAAGGAGACTCAGAGACTGCAGGACCATTGTTTACTGCAACCTCTCATCCTCCCCTGGGTCTGATAAGAACCTGAAGAGGGAATAGGATGGCTTTACTGGGGTTCTGTCAGGCACTGAGGTTTAATTACAGACCAATTCGCAACAGGGAAGGCCTCTCTGAGCGTTTGCTAAAGGTCGGAGGGTAGAAGACCACCAGTCTCAAGTGAAATACATCTTTAATCATTCCTGAAACATAAGAGACGTTGATGTGTTGAAAATGGATGCAATTGAACGTTTTGTCACTGCTCTTTGAAATGTCATCATTTTTATTTCTCAGTGGTTACACAAAGGTGGTGTGTGAGGTAAATTCCGTGCCCTTATAGAGTAGCGCATCCTGCTGTGTATGGAGTGCTGTGTACATATTCAAATAGATCTCTGTTTTGGAAGACATTAATGATCATTTCAGAAGATGATGCGGGTGCACTACGCTTTTATGGGTTTTCTCATTCAATATCTCAGCGCTTCAGAAGGTGGTAAATGTTTATTTAGAGGAGTGATGTGTTTCCTTGAAATTCATCAAGGTCATAAATATACATTAAGCCTCGATTGGTAGAACAACAGGCTACTAGATGACAGTGCAGTAGTCGTTTTTACTCCAAATTAAACAATTAAGGCAATTATACATGAGGTGCAGTGTAATTAGAGGATGCCAGCTACTCTTCAAAAAGCCATTTAACAGCCTGAAGCACCAGAGGAAGACCAGTGCCACTATTGATTTCACATTTCATTCAGATTTTTATGCTTCTCTGCCAGCGATAGGATAAGAGATTTAGGTATGCATCTAACACAGAGGCAGAGTGATTTTTTTATTCTGTTTGATATTGAGTGATATAATTTTGGGTTTTCCTATGTAACACTTGTAATATAATACTTATTTTGTAACACACTATTATGAGACCTCTTTTATCTGTTTCTGGGGTTATATATTTGGCATATTTTGAGGGTATGAGGTTGATGTGGAGGCTTTAGATGACAAAAAGCAGCTATTATACTGGAGAACTTAATTAATAGAGGGAACTGAGGGTGATGGAGAAATGCAAGGTGATAAATGCTGTTCCTTACCAGAGAGGTCTCTGCCAACTCCCAGCGCCAAGCCATCTTTGATCCACAGGACAACACCATGGTAACCGGGGATAGTGCATGGTAACGTCACAGGCTGGCCTGCCACCACCACCAGGTCCTGTGGCTGCTGGGAAAACATGGCCTCCGCCCCTGAAGAACAAGAGAAGCAGGAAAAGGTTAGGTCTGACCCATTTTATATATCATGGCATTTTAATATAACCAGGAGAAGAGGGCATAGAACATTCAATATCAAAGAGGGGAATAAGTATGGTTTTACAAACAGCTGCTTTTAATGTTTCAAGTGCTGAATGGAGGGAAAATAAAGGGAAGTGCACCATACGACCATTTCCACCAATTTCACTCAAACCTCTTGTCAGACTCATGTTGAAAGAACCCTAAAGAGTGACATATAAATGTGGCACATTCTTTTACTGTTCATGATACAGAGACACGATACTGTACACGCATCAGAGGTGTCAGTGCTGCACAGGACTGAAGCACAGGCTAAGAGACAGCCGTCACAGCTCAGCTCGGTTCATTATGAAGGGTGTCGCCGTACAGATGGGCTGTGCTCATACACAGCACCACAGATAACACAATCTTGTCTGCCAACACTGCTCTAGTGGCATATATTAACTCAAGCTCACACCCATGTATTCCAACTGTGCAACTGCTATTAGCTGCACTCCTCTACTGCGTGTTCAGGTGGAAAGTGGTGTGCAGTGAACTCTATTAGAGGCAGAGGGTGTGTTAATGGGGAGGGGTACAATGGTGGTGGAGTGGTGGTGGGGATGAGGGGGGCAGAGTTGTGGATCAGAGTAGAGGGTACAGAGTGCTACTGATGTGTAGTTAGAAACACTGGCAGGGTACCTATCAACTGCCTACACACATATAGACAAACTGACATACATTCATCCAGACACAGTGATTTGGGAGCACAGATTGCAGCAAAGGTTTAAAAGTGTCACTTCCTCTCTCACACTTTACTGAGACACTTTTGTTCATAGCTATTCCTTACTTCTAAACTTCTATGTTCAATTACTTGGCTCAGAATATCTACCTTTTTCTTGAACGACTTAATATCCTGCTTTCTTGTAGATTCGCGTAGTAGCACAAACACGGGCACAAGCATGTAGCCCTATCATGCTGAAACGGGCTCACACACACACACACACACACACACACACACACACATACATACATTTTTTACGCAATTACATGCACATAAAAACCTGATCAAAGATGATAACATGTAAATTACAATAATAAGCAGAGCAAGGACAAAAAAGAACGTGAAATCGTGTTTTCATCTTTGAATCCCATTGTAGCCATCTACTGCATTTCTTTGTATTCTTGGATTTATATTCAAAAGAAATTACTTATGCTATTGCAGACATGGAAATTGATTAGCTTTGTTGCGCGATTTCAAACCACATCAGAGAAAGGATTGTTGTCATTCAGGAAACTGATTTTAATTCAGTTGGAAAATGCCATTAGACTCCACAACTCATATTTCAGCCTTGAAATGAATTCCTTGTGATGGATAGCTTGTTAAAGATGTAAGCAGAAGTTTTCCCTGTGTACACTGTCACACATTCCTGCACCACACACGCAGTCAGAAATACACAATCCTGTGCACTGCCACATTTTAATTAATATACATCTATTACTAAACCAACATCAGGAAAGCATAATGTGCTGTACCTCAAAGCATTTAATGGGCTTTTCATCATCTTAAGATTATATAGCTTCTCCCTGGCTAACCAGGCCCTTTGTGAATGGGCATGTACATTGTGGGTGATGCTGCCTGCATGAGACTTTATCTCACCATATGTATTGCCCTTCAAACCTACACAGGAGCAGTGATTAAACTGAGAGACAGCTTTGTTCAGCCCTGACTGTTTTCCCACATGGAGCTTATCTCAGCTGTACTCTCTACCCAGTCAGCAGCACACTAACATATAGACAGCTACTCAACAGATCTCTTGGCATGTTCCGGAAAAACATTGTAAATGCCAGGGAATCTTTTATCTGCTCAGTCATGACTGATATTATCAAACAGTTCAGTCTGTGCTGTAATTTATTTAACATTGGAGGGATCTCTCTGTTGGCAGCACACGCCTGCATGCTTCCTACAACCCATATCCTCACTGTTGTCCTTCTTCTTTGGACCCTTCATACCTTCTGTATTATCAAGAAGAAAACAGATGGGAGATTATTTTTTTCTGAGATCTGGCAGAGCAGCACAGTATCAGCTTGATTACAGAATTCAGTTAGGTGGAAAACATTGTTAGCCATTTTCTAAGCTGTTTCGTATTGTTTGCACAGAGACAGATTTTTGCACACAATTTACAGGAGTTCATGGTAATTCTGTGTCACACTTTGCCTTGAAACTGTTGTAAACAAATATTTGACTTCTCAAACAGCTCTCACAAAAAAAGTATTAATTAACAGTACTCAACAGAATCACATATCTCTCAGACAAATATACACATTAGAGCATGACTTAAAGGGGCACTCCATTGATTTTGCACATCAAGATCAGTTTACTCGTCATGGGGAGTACTATGTGGCCCCATGTAATGAAAGTTGTTCAGGTTGTTCAGTTATGTTGTTTTCATTTAAGAAATATAGCCAAGGTTAAACATTTTATTTTAGCCACAGATCAAGAGAAACTCATCCATGCTTTTAAATTCAAATTCAAATTCAAATTAGCTTTATTGGCATGTATAGAAACAATATTGCCAAAGCTAGATATAAAGTCCATAAGGACAATTAATTTCATACATTTCATTAGATAAGGAAATAAAACAGCAAAAGTTGTGTTAAGCGTGTGTGTGTCATCTCGACTATTGAAACTCCATTTATACCTGAAATCCTTTCATCACCTGCAATTGACCCTTCGCTAAACCCCGCCTCCTTTAGTTACTGTTGCTAAGTCCGACAAACTGCCTGTGCTGCTACTGTCTATTACTGCACGCCCTGGAGAAATATTGTAAAATGCGCTGGAAAAAGTGATCTCAGAAAGAAGCACACAGTTGTATTATACATTTGAAGGTTGTATTCAGGCTGTCAAACTTACTCAAACGGACGTGAAAACCTACCGATCACACATTACAAGTGAACCACCGCATCCCCCGACGACTGAGACAAAAGACAACGATATTAAAGATCAACACTGTTCCTGTACAGCTGGGTAGGCCACTATTCATTATTGGTATTACAATCATTAAAAAGCAGAACAGTTGGGACTTATTACATTCCATTGAGTAGGAAGTTAGCTAGCGTTAGCTAACTAACATTACATTAGGGACAATCCACAGCTGACATTTTTCTGGATTTATTTTAGAGTTTGGAAAGAGAATAAATCGTACTTCTCCTTTCAACCTCTCTGGGTAGCAACTGTAACTATTACAAGTGCCCCACGAACAGCGTTTGACCAGATCTTAGAAAAATACAGCCATAAAAAAAAAGAAAAGAAAACAACTCTTTTCACATTAGAGTCAATGGAGCGTAGCCATGAAAGTGTCGGACCTCAGTTAGTGTATTCGGGGCGTGGCTTAGCAAAAGGTCAATTAGTCCTAAATGCTGCAACTTGACTTTTACCACGCTGCAAATTCTTTTAACCATTGCACCTCAGTTTTTGCATTGTTGCACTGGCTGGTGTGTTTTTTTTTAGGATTGATTTTAAAATTCTTCTAATCACTTTTAAGGCCAGGCAAGAGCTGGCACCTTCATACTGTATATCTATAAGCTTTTACCCCTGTGTGAGCCAAGATACTCTGGCAGGTAGTTGCTAACAATTCCAAGGTCTATGCTAAAAAACAAAGGAGACAGGCCTTTGTCATCAGGGCCCCTACACTCTGGAAGAGTCTATCAGAGGAGATCAGGCTCGCAGAGTCTGTTCCTGGTTTCATCTCACTTCTTAAGACACAGTTATACAACAAAGATTTCATAAGTTTATTTTTCCACTATTTGTATATTGACTTGTTTATGTTTTCTTTATTGATTATAAACCACTATGTAATGCGTAATTTATTTGTCCCTTTTTTGCACATTGACTTGTTGACCATATTTTTTATTTTCTTTGTTGTACACCACTCTGTGTGATACTGATTTTGGTTTGACTTGTCTATGTTTTGCATTGATTGCTGGAAAGCACTTTGTTACCTGTATTTAAAAGTTCTATACAAATAAAGTTATTATTGTTGTTATTTATTATTACTCAGCCTGTGGAGACAGCTGTTTAATGTCGTCTGTGGCTCCGGAGGGAGTTTTCCAAAGACTAAAAATAACACCATAATAATAATACTTAAAATTCTAAACAAAAACACTGGCGACCTGTCCAGGGTGTACCCCGCCTTGCGCCTGATGACAGCTGGGATTGGCTCCAGCCCCCTGCAACCCTGTACACAGGATAAGTTGTTGACGATGGATGGATTCTAAACAAAAACCTGTGTTTCAAACTGGCTGTGTTTGAAAGATATAAGCATTTACCTGGCAAGGAGTGTCTAATACATGACAGAGTTAAGTTTGAATAGTAGAATCCAATGTTTTCTGATCTTGACCAATACTGGGGAGTAAAAGTTATCCCCCTGCTTTATGGAAGTGCAGTACTGAATGGTTAGGCCTTTTAAAAAGACCCTCTGACCAAAGCAGAAGAATCAAGGTTGCAACAGGTAGAGACGTTGCTGCATAGCATAGAAAGAGAACATGCATGACACAATAAGATTGTTCAACAACCACCAGCAAATCAAAGTCTAGACTGAGCACACCAAACCTGCTCAAACAGTGAAGAACACATGGTTTTATGTCTAAACCCAAAGTTTAGGGCCTTGAACGTGACTTCAGACATGCTCCTCTTGAATAGGGACTCAACACGTGAAACTTGGTGCTGCCTCTGTATCTGTATTATATTAAGCAAGCATTCTTTAAATTTTCCTAAAAGTTTGTACTCTGCTGCCATTCCAAGACTGATGTCCTAAAAGGGCTATTAAAATACACTGGTGATAGAAAGAATCAAAGACTTAACTGACACCAGCTTGTACTTGTCAGTTGAGCAGTTAAAAAGTGACCTCCTTCATTCAATTTAAAGCCTGGCTGAGTCTTGCAACAAATGTGTCTTCATAGGGGTAAAGAAATGGGGTGAT